GCGGGGGGGTTGGGTGATCCCAGTAGTGCTGCCTGCTGTCCAGGGAAGCTCAGAAACCTGAGACAAAGCAGTGGCCCAGCCTGCAGTCAGTCACCGCAACTTCTGGGAAAAGCCTGGACACCTCGGGACCACTGCAGGAAAGAGCTGCCCGGTGCCTTAAAAGGAGATCAGTTCCCTCCTGCAGCCAGCAGACAGGCCAGAAGGTCTAACCATCCTAGACTGACCCTTGACCTGGGGATGTGTGCATGGGGCATGGACAGTGGCTTAGGAGCCCATCGCCCCTCCCAAGACTGTGCTAATTAGATTCAAATCCAGCCTCTTACAACCTGCCAACAAAGGCAGGGGGCGGTTTCTGAAAGCCTGGGCGTGTCTGTGGTCAGAGACCCCCTCTAGTCCTGCTCCTGGGCAGCTGGCAGCCCTGAGGTCGGAGGGCGCAGCCTTCATTGCAGCTTGTCTGGGACGTGTGCAGAGGTAACTAGGAATCAGAGCCTCGGGTGCTATTAGCCTGGCCAGGCTCCTCTGATCTGCACCCAAGCTGGAACCTTGGCATCCGGTCCTGCCGACCCATCCCAGGGCCAAGGCCCAAGCACTGACCTGGTGTGGACATGGAGCCAACTCCCATGGGCACAGGTGTCCTTCCTCATCGTCTCTGCTTCCCACAGGGCACCGGAGGGTACCGAAGGTGGAGAATTCCTGCCCACAGGGGGTGTGGCTGTGGATGCCTATCCCAACTGGCTCAAGTTCCACATCGGCATCAACCGCTACGAGCTGTACTCAAGGCATAACCCGGCCGTCGAGGCCCTCCTGCAGGACCTGGGTTCTCAGAGGATAACCAGCGTGGGTAGGTGCCCCTCTTGGGTGCAGAGGGTTTGGGGCCAGTGCATCCCCTTGGGGCAGCTTGTGTGGCAGCCTCAAGGGCAGGAGGCCTAGCAGGTTGAGGGAAGGGACTGGCTGGAGATGCTGCTGCTGATGCTAGAGAGACAGAGAGAAGCAGAGACAGAGTGAGACACATCAATACAGAGACAGAGAATGACAGAGACAGAAAGGCAGCAGAGACAGAGATCAAGAGGTAGGGAGAGAGACAAAAGGAGAGAGACCCAGAGACAGAGAGGCTGCAGCTCCCCCAACCCCACACTACTCTGACTCCCCAGGGGCACAGACTAGGTCACAGATGAAGGTGTAAGAAGGCACCCCCATAGTTATGCCTCCCCATGGCTTCATCCCCCGTGACTGTGCCCCCATGGCTTTGCTGTGCCCCTGTGGTTTCATCCCCCTATGGCTGTGCCCCCCCCCACCGTGGCTTCATCTCCCCATGACTGTGCCCCATGGCTGTGCCCCCCCATGGCTTCATCCCCTCATGACTGTGCCCCCATGGCAGTGCTCCCCCTACCCCGTGACTTCATCCCCCCCATGACTGTGTCACCATGGCTATGTCTTGGGCTCACTCACCTCTCTGCAAGGGTGGCTCTGTGCTCTGAGCAAGCACCCTACCTTGAGGTGGGTGTGGTGGCAGGAGACCTGTCGCCCCGGCTGGGGCTGAGAGCTTTGGGGTGAGGTGCTCTCACCACCCACAGGACGCGGTCTTCTGCTGTGCTGGACAACTGACCTCACAGACATGTGCCCATGGCTCCAGGGTGGGGCTTGCCTCTGGGCAGGTGGTTTGCTGCCTCAGTTTCCCTGTCTGCCTAGTGGGAGCAGGCCCACCCAGGAAGGCAGGGTAAATGGCAGGTGTGTGCATCAGTATGACCCTTTGCTCTCCACAGCTCCCCCAACCTCTGTCTTCTGGCGCTATGCTGCCCTGTGGCTCAGAAGCTGTCTAGTCTCAGGCCATGTGGTCATCATCAGAGCACCACGCTGGTCACTCGTACCACCCCCCTCCCCCAGACAGGACAGTGAGACCCAATGCTTGGAGCCGCTCCCTCAGCCTCAGCTGCTCACTGTGGTGACTGGGCAGGTCTAGAAACTTCTGGGAGCCCAGGCTCATCCCTGAGGCTTGGGGGAAGGCACATGATCTGGGCCTGACCCTGGGGTCTTGGTGCCCTACCTGGAAGAGGGCCCTCAGCCACTCAGAGGCATGAGGGTGGCCTGGGTGGGATTGGCCAGATCCCACTCGGGAAGCTCCCAAACATGATGTGTACCCACGTGTTACCTCAGCACCCTGGGACCCCAGGAAGGAGGCTGTGCCTCCCGCCACTACTGAGAAGTGGTTTGAGATCTCCCCTGGGCAGGTCAGGGTGGGGGTGCTGAGCCTGGCACGTGCGGAGGGTGCTGTGGGGTCAACCATGTCTGGGTGACCCTCTTTCTCAGAGAGAAGACCCATCTTTTTTAATCATTTTATGGGGGGCTCATACAACTCATCACAATCCATACATACATTAATTGTATAAAGCACATTTATACATTCGTTACCCTCATCATTCTCAAAACATTTGCTCTCCAAGTAAGCCCCTGGCATCAGATCCTCATTTTTCCCCTCCCTCCCCACTGCCCCCTCCCACATGAACCCTTGATAATGTATAAATTATTACTTTGTCATATCTTACACTGTTCAATGGCTCCCTTCACCCACTTTTCTGTTGTCCATTTCCCAATGAGGAGGCTATACGTAGATATTTATAATCGGTTCCCCTTTTCTACCCCACCCTCCCCATATTGCCACTCTCACCACTGGTCCTGAAAGGATCATCTATCCTGGATTCCCT